CTAAATCATGGAATTTGGAAGGAAACTTTTGGGGGTTTTTGACTATGTTTTGAAAAATAAAAGGCAGGTATTTGAGAGTCGATTTGGACTCGGTTTTAGAATCTAATCACATATTTGGACTCGTGGGATTATGAGTAGTGAGTAGACACATATTTGGACTCGTGGAATTATGGATAGTCGGGATCTACCCCTTGACTCGAATTTTGACCAAGTGGGCTCGGAGTTGACTTTTGTTGACTTTTGAAAAATTGAGTAAATGTCACGACCCAAAATCAAACCCGTTGTGATGGCACCTAACCCAACCCGCTAGGTAAGCCAAATAACAATAAAACATAATATAATGATAATGATAAGAGTAAAAAATGAAATAACTAAATTTTATACAATTCTTCAAGGACTGGTAGTACAAGTCTTTAACCACTAAGACTTAGATTTTACAAAAAAACTGAACTGAAATAATTACAACATCTATTTGGATTGTACATGAACAGAATTTGAATCTAAAGCTACCAAGGACAAGTGATAGCCATAACTAGAACGCGGGTACATATTCAATGCCAGCTCTCACCATATACAACAACAACAATAACTCCAAGATCTGCACGCAAGGTGCAAAAGTGTAGTATGAGTACAATCGACCCCATGTACTCAATAAGTATCCTAACTAATCTCGGCGAGGTAAAAGAAGCAAGAACTATAGATAATACTCACTAACACATGTGCAGTTCATAATTTCAACAAGTATAGAAAATGATCAAATCAGGATACCTCAGGTAAAACCACTTTGATGCTCACAATTCTTTGTTTTAAAGTGTTCTGCTCAGTCAACAATCCAACATATAAGGAAGATTTGCAAGTAAAATCAGGTAGATTGTCAAGCAAATTGCAAGTAAAGATGAAATGCAATAACCAAATATCAGTCCGTTGTGGCGCGCAGCCTGATCCAATAACAGCGACCAGCTCTCCCAAAGCTCACATCAACCAGAAACCCGTAGATTTTTCACAATTTGCGTGTACACTATCAAGAGAGAAACATGAGAGGGTGACCCTAAGGGGATGGATCTGTATCCGCACGCTGCACGGACAACTCATGTATTGCACGGAAACTCACGTGCTGCAAGAAAAATCCACGTGCTAATAATATCAACTGCACGGACAACTCACGTGCTGCATGGACAACTCACATGCTATAATATCAATATCTGGATCCACACGGATAACTCACGTGCTGCACGGATAACTCACATGCTAATAATATCAATCCGCACGGACAACTCACGTGCTAATATCACAATCCGCCCGGTGTGGTCACATGCTCAACATCACAATCCGCCCGACGTTGTCACATGCATAATAACACAATCCGCCTGGCGTGGTCACATGCATAACAATACAATTCGCACGGCGCGGTCACAGGCATAACAACACAATTCGCCAGGCGTAGTCACATGCATCCAGTCCAAAACATATCACACAAAAGTAAATATACAAGAATACATGTATGTGATCAACGAATATCAGATTTCATGCTCCTGGAATGGTATAAGTGACATGTTAGAGTGTATGCATGCGCCAAGTGTGCTATTGTTGCTCCCAAATGCACACGCAAGTATACAAGTAATAAAATGATAAGTAGAGTGTCGAACCCACAGAGACTTGTATCAACCACCCACCAAATTCACCAAGATTGTTATTTAGTCAAGCCAAAATCGAGTTCAAGAATGTGATTATACTAAACTATAATTCTAAGTAGTAACTAAATTATCAAGTAGCAAAATAATTGTGTATTCAGTAGAGACAAATATTCCAGGGTTGTGATCGATTTACCAATCCTATTGTGTTCTAGTTAACTCTCCCTTTCATACAATTCACTCATGGTTGCTAATTAATCGAACAATTGCTCTCATAACGTTCTCCCGAAGTACTACTCGCCTATTCAGAATAGATTAACGCCTATAATCCTATGGAATTAATCTATCAAGAACGCATTAAGATAACGATATTTAATTAAGCACGGTGACTAGGTATATTCCTATCCTAACCACAAATCCGCCCCTCTAAGAGTTAAGATCGTGCTCTCTTCAATTCGTCTCTAATCTAAACACGGCTTTCCCAAGCATAGCATAAACAGTAAATAGAACCTAACTGCTGGTCAGACAATTAATCAATTAATCACAGAATTGAAAAAATAACCATATATTAGTGAATTATAATCAAGGTTAAGTCAACATAAAACAACAATATTCATGGCTAAATCACAACCCCAGAACTATGGGTTTTAGCCACTCATGTTCGTAGTAACAATTTTCCAAGTATTTTGTATAAACAAATTACAAAGAAAAGATAAATGGATGAAGAACTCGATGATTTGCTCCTCCAAAAGTTGTCCACGTGATGTTCTTGCCTCCGGTCGCAAAATTCCCCCCTAAGAATGGTGTTTAATGACTATTTATATGTGTAGGAAATAGTCCTAAACGAAATAACCAAATCCAAAACCAAATAGGAGACGAAATAGGCTTTAAAAATCCGGAACACGCTCTCCACGGGCCTCACATCGCGAGGCAAAACGCACGCCTCACCTCGCTGCACACTAGGCGACGCGAGCTTTTTCTCGAGCTTTCCACTGCGCGCCGCAACATTTAACGCGAGCTCCTCCTCGCTTTAGCCTATGCGATGCATGCTTTTTGGCTAGAAAATTCCCTTGCCTCGCATGCTGTTTCTGCTTCATTTCCTTCAATTCAAATTTTTGCTGCCTAACTTTGCTTTTCTTCACGTTTTTTTGTTTCTGTTTCTTTTGTTTTCAATTCCTTTGCATTGTCTCTTCAATCGTTGAATAATTTTGGTCCTCCATGATAAAGACACTATTTAAAATTAATTCACCATGTACTTCAAATTCGTCATTTTGTTCAAGATTCATCTCCAACGTACCTACACGTAAAATAAACTCAATTAAGCACAAATATAGTATAGTTTAGCATTAAAGTCCCAAAATATAAGGTAAGTAATGCACGAAAAATATGTAATTATAGCCAAACATCACTACCCCACACTTAAACGTTGCTCGTCCTCGAGCAATCAAATTACACTTTATATAGACACGACCTTTTTAAACAATTCTCCTAACGCATCACACCAAGAATCTTTAAAATAGACTAAGCACAAGAGTGTAACATATTCACCTAAAAATTTGACTCACAAGTACCACGTATTATTCATAACTCACTCACTTACTCTAACATAGAGGTCAATGACATTACCTTTCCTTCTTGAATCAAGTGCCCTCACACAACAAAAGAGAGTAGTTCCACACACAATAAAAACTTAAGAACAATTAGGAACTCAAGATAGAAAAAAATTCACTCACTCTCAGAAATAACATTCATATGCCACAAAGATGCACCATAGGCTTGCCCGTAGTGTACTACTCTACTAATCGAGCTCATTCAGTCTAGGATCAAGTAGGACTTTAATTGATTGTAATGTAGGCTGCGGGTCGGGTAGGATATATTTGGATATAAGAGTGACTACACCTCCCTAAGTACTTTAATACATACACTTTAACATTTAAACCTCACACTTATGTTAAACCATAACTTCACCTTCACATCAATGTATATTAACTCCATACTTCTTTAAACACAATTCCATCAAGAGTCACCACTATCAAAGATTATTTTTCACAGCAGTACAACTATTTTTTCCTTTCTTTCTTTTTCAATTCAAGTGGCTTTTCTTATTTTTTCACAACAGTGCACCTTTCTCCTTATTTCATTAGTTCCACTCAAAAGCCAAACCAACCACCTCTCACTTTAACTTTTACAAAGTTTATAACAATTCAAGTGCTCATGAGAGGTGAAAAGGTTCAAATAAACGGTTAATTCAAACAAATGGGTAAGGCTTGTAATGTGGTTGACAAAGAAATAGGATTACAGCTCAAAGCGTTAACTACGATACATAACAATTAGGCGGGTAAAATATATATATATATATATATATATATATATATATGTCTTAATAAAGAAATGCCTATATCACTTCCAAGACTGAAGAACGCTACTATTTCGCTTTGCAAACACACGGGGCAAGTTCTAGATATCAAATGAAATGCAAAGAATAACACACAAACCTCCCACATAGGGCACATAATTCACTCAGGATTGGATTCATCAAGACACTCTAGTCAAAGCAGTTAAGCAAAGTTAAGATCATACGATTTAAGGTACTTATACAAGAGTCAAAAACTGAGTCTATGCATCACAACCAAAGTACTCACTATTCCCAAGGCACAATAAAGTCAAGAGATATTGTTTCAATTCAATTCATTTCACAGTGGCTCCTACTCCTAAAAAAAATAAAACTACCTACACCCGGTTCAAACAAAACCCTTGAAAAAGGACCGCGGCATAAAGAAAAACCAAGGGGGAATTACTACACTACCTATAAAGAAAGTCTTTTTGTCCTATTTCTTTAGACTTAACTCCTTCAAGAACACTGTCTAGGAGATCCATCGTCGAGAGAAGTCAAATTTTTCAATTTGTTTTTTTTGTTGTGAATTGTTATTAAAATACTACACAACTACGAAAACAAAAATAAGAAGTTAACATTTTTCTAACATCCTACTACTAATTATCTAGAGAATTTTCCCACCCCATACTTAAAAGGGTGCAGTGTCCCCAATGCACAAATAAGCAAAACAATAACGAGGGTGGACAAGAAACTCCCTGAAAGGCCAAAGGCCGAAGCAATAGCGGCTCATGGGTACTCAGACTTCCCCCGGGCATGGTCCTTTGTGTGGTACCCCACACTTCGTTCTCACCATCTAACTTGCTTTTGCACTCTTCTAATGGATTTGCCTCTTATGCTTATAATCCTACAAAACAAAAACAAATACTACAACAATAATAATAAGAAACAAAAATAAAAATAAATGAAATCAGTAAAGATGGGTTGCCTCCCAACAAGCGCTTGATTTAACGTCGCGGCACGATGCAGAATCTCGCTTACTCATCAGCGAGTACAACCTTGGTCTTCTCACGATCAATTATTCCTCCCCAATACTGCTTTACTCTATGTCCATTCACCAAAAAATTTCTTTCACCATTCAAAGCTCGCAACTCAATTGCACTATAAGGAGTGACTCTCACTACCTCAAACGGGCCTGTCCATCTCGATTTTAACTTTCCAGGAAATAGCCTTAGTCTAGAATTGAACGATAATACCTGTTGGCCTGACTCGAAGTGACGCGGTTTGATATGCTTGTCATGCCATCTTTTTGTCTTTTCTTTGTAAAGCTTAGCATTTTCATACGAGTGCAGCCTGGATTCATCTAACTCATTCAACTGCAAGAGTCTTTTCTTCCCCGCGGCTTCAAGGTCCATATTTTACTTCTTAATGGCCCAATATGCTTTGTGTTCAAGTTCAATCGGCAAGTGACATGCCTTCCCATAAACTAACCTATACGGCGACGCCCCAATTGGCGTTTTGTATGCAGTTCTATATGCCCACAAGACATCATCTAACTTTGCAGCCCAATCTTTTCTATTCATACTCACCGTCTTCTCTAATATTTGCTTTATTTCTCTATTAGACACCCCAACTTGTCCACTTGTTTGACAATGATATGCCGTTGCAACTCTATGGCGGACTCCATATTTAGCTAGAAGGTTATTCAACAACCGATTGCAAAAGTGTGTCCCTTCATCAAAGTCCCTCAGTCTCAAGTTGGTATGCTCGGTTAAGTAAGGCACCGGGTGCCGGTCTCGCCTCCCAGGTTTGGGGTGTGACACCTCCTTACCATGGCCTCTTTGCTTTGACCCCAAATGAGCTCAATCATGCGCGCTATATCCATAGCCTGAAAAAATGTAGTACCAGTCTCTGCCTCCCTATCCATAAAAATTGATACCAAAATTTAGCCCCACAATGAACCTATTAACCTTATCAACCTCCTTGGTGGAGATCAGAAAAACTACATGACGGGATAGATTAGTCAATATAATCTCATACTCAGTTACAGTCATGCGACCCTGCTAAAGGTCCTCTAACTGACCCTGCATCTCCTCCCTCTGCATGAGTGGAATGAACTTCTCTAAGAAGAGATGTGAGAATCCAAGTGAGTAGAAGTGACCCTACTGGCTTGCTATGCTCATATGACTGCCACCATCTCTTGGCTGGCCCCTGAAGCTAAAAAGTAGTGAACGTGACCCATTGGACTCTACCAAACCACGATTCTGTAGAATCTCCTGACAACCATCTCAGAAATCATGTGCATCTGGCAAAGGATCACCATCATAATATGGGGGGCCCATCTTCCTGGACTGATCAAACCTCTTCTGCTTCTCTTTAGTCATAGTGGCCTCCAATACCGTCCTAAAACAGCTATGGGAGGAAGTCCCCCAATTTGTACCAACCCTAGGGTCTGATAACCAGCCACAACCTGCTCAGGAGTGTGAGTAGTTGGCCCAACTGGCTCACCCTGATCAAAAACTCCACCGGAGCTACTGGTGGCTCCACATTGGCTGGCCTAGTAGGGGCTCTGACTGCAGTGCTAGCCCTGCCTGTGCCTCAACAACGGCCTCACACTGCCCTACCCTGAGGAGCCGGTACCTGAACAACTACTCCTTATGAACGCGTTCTCACTATCTGCAAGAGAATAGAAAGACAATGATTCTAACATCGGATCAATCAAGCCGCAAGATAATGAATGAAAGAAGTGTAGTTTCCTAACATCTTGTAGCCTCTCGGAGATAAATACTATCACGACTCAAAAATCCCATCACGGGCGCCGTGATGGCACCTAGTCTTTAAGAATAGGTAAGCCGATTACAATTATATTTTGAGCTATTTTATTTTTTGAAACAATTCAAGTGTCGAAACTAAAAGCTGAAAAACAAATGTAACAACCTCCCAAGACTGGTAATACTGAGTCACGAACTCTAACTGAATACATGCAGTGATCTCAAGGATCGAATATACAATACTGTTTGAATAAGAGTTGAGAGTACAATAAAATGGAAAGACTCCAAGGGACTGTGATGACCAAGCAGCTTTACCTTGAATCTTTGCGATCATACTCTAATCTCTGTCCAAATCTGATATCTCCAATACCTGGCTCTGCACAAAAATGTGCAGAAGTGTAGTATGAGTACACCACAGTCGGTACCCAGTAAGTATCAAGACTAACCTTACTGGAGTAGTGACGAGGTACAGTCAAGACACTCACTAGTCAAATAACCTGTGCAAAATAGCAGTATATAATAGTACTGGAAAATAACTAGCAGTGATAGCAACAAAAATCAACCAGTGATCTAAATACCAAGGCAACAAGAACACCATAATTATTGCTCAAACGAATAAGGAACACAAGTACAATCGATTAAACAAGTCCTTCATATATAAATCTTTCACATATAATATATTTTTTTTAAATAAATATCTTTCGAATATAAAATTCTTTCAAATAAATATCTTTCGAATATAAAATCCTTTCAAGTAAATATCTTTCAAATAAAAGTCACTCTGCGACACATCATTTCATAATCATAAGACAAGGGTCTCAGCCCACTTTCATATTGTCGTAATATGGGTCTTAGCCCACTTTCATATTTTCATGGCACTTTGTGCCCATATTTCTATCAAAATCGCATGGACAACTCACGTGCCAATAATAAAAATTATCATATTTTCCCAGCACCTCATGCCCATATTTCTTTCATAATCGCACGGATAACTCACGTGCCAATAATATAATCATTATATTTCCCTGGAACCTCGTGCCTGCATTTCATTTCACATTTGCAAGGACAGTTCACGTGCCAATAACATAATCATTATATTTTTCTGGCACCTCGTGCCCATATTTCATATCACATCTGCACGGATAGTTGACGTGCCAATAATATAATCCGCCCGGCAATAGCCACAGGCTCACAATTTCAACATAGATCAGAATATTATCAAGTTTACCAAAATAACAAGACAAGTTGCACAAGATATAAAATAAACACAAGGAAAATCACAACATCACATGAAAATTTCCAACGCAATAACCCCACATCATCACATAAAAATTACCAACACAATAACCCCACATCATCGCATATCATCCCTTACAATAGCCACCCTTATCTCTCCTATAGCCACCCTTATCACTCCTATAATAGCCTCTCTTATCCCTCCACCCTGACAATATCAATAGACACTTTTATCGCTCTTATAGCCACCCTTATCGCTCCTATAATGGCCTCCCTTATTGCTCAGTTTAATAGCCTCCCTTATCACTCCGTCCAGACAATATCCCAACACACATAATTACAGTGAAATTTCACCCTTATGCCCGCATAATGTCAACAATGGAATGCCACCCTTATAGCCGCATAACAGTAACCCAAATCACACAATGATTCACACAGAATATTATCACAACAGCACAACATCATCAACTCGTATTTACAAATTACTCGTAGGCCACAACCATTCCAAAGGTACAATAAAGTCAATTAATTTCATAACAGATAGTCCACTGCTCAACACAATGTATATAAAATCTCAAAAACAACCACAAGGATGGGGAAAATAACTCATCACAGGACACCGCCTTCTTTAATCCAACTTTTTGATAAATATATAAAAGCCTCAATTTAAACTTATTTAATTAATTATTTGCAGATGAAAAATCCATAATGTGATTATTTCCAAGAAATATCAAATCAATAACACACAGAATTCACATAAAAATCCAAGTGACAATAACACCAAATTATCATATAAAATACAAATTCGACAAATAAGGAATGAGGCATGACAAATCAGGATTTACTAAGTTCCAACAATATTTCAATTTAATACATAAGGGCGTCTACAAATTTCAACTGATATAATTTGCACATATAAACCAAGTACGTACTCATCACCTCGCGTACATAGTTTTATATTACATAATTTTCACATAAGACTCAATGCCTACGGGGTAATTCCCCTACTCAAGGTTAAGCAAGATACTTACCTCGTTTCGCAACCAATTTCAAGATTCCAATAAACCTTTGCCACGCGAATTCGTATCTGAAAGCTTTAAATCTAATCACAAATAATTTAATATACTCAACACGAATCGTAGGAATTAATTCCATATGAATTTTCTAAATTTCACAATATAAATCCGAAAGTAACTCAAAAATCAACAGTGGGGTCCATGTCTCAGAACCAGACAAAAGTTATAAAATATGAATGCCCATTCAACCATGAGTCCAACCATACAAAAATTATCGAATTCCGACATCGGATTGACTTTCAAATCTTCATTTTACATTTATGAAAGATTTTATAAAAATCTGATTTTTCTTCCATAAATTCACGGATTCATGATATAAATGAGTATGGAATCATGAAATATAATCAATATAGGATAAGAAACATTTACCCCAATATTTTCCCGTGAAAATCGCCCAAATATCTCCTAAACCGAGCTCCCCAAACTCAAAAATGAGTAAAAATGGCAAAACTCCCTATTTTATGAGGTTTTTACTGTTCGGGTGCCACAGGTAGCATGGGGCACTGCCTGTGGCGCTGTTTCCAGAACCTTTAAACATCCCACGACTAGCGCCCCACGCTACCCTGGGTGCTGACGGCAATGGAAAATCATTTCTGACACGGACATGAACATAACTCTTTCATACGATGTCCGAATTCGACGATTCTTTTTGCTATGGTTCCTAAATTTCAATACGGATCTAATGCTTCAATCAAAACTGAATTTGGAGCTCATTTGCTTAATATGATACCATGTATTCTTAAAGAATCGATGTCGAAACATTCTAGGTTCGATGCCGAAACATAGCAAATCAAGTTCGATTGACTTCAAATTTTGCACACAAGTCATAAATGATATAACGGACCTATCAAAATTTCCATAACTAGATTCCGACCCTAATATCAATAAAGTCGACTCCCGGTAAAACTTCCAAACCTTCCATTTCCAACTTTCGTAATTTCAAGCCAAAATCAACTATGGACTGCCAAATAAATATCCGGACACACTCCAAAGTCCAAAACCACCATACGGAGCTATTAGAATCATAAAAAGTCTATTTCGGAGTCGTTTGCTCAAAAGTCGACTCTCTGGTCAACTCTTTTCTTTTAAACTTCTTAATTAAGATTTTTTCAACCAATCTGATCCCAAATCGTCCGAAAACCAAACGCAACCACACACGCAAGTCATAATACGTATTACGAAGTTGTTCGAGTCCTTAAGTCGTTGTACGGGGCATAAATTCTTAAAATGACAAGTCAGGTCGTTACAAGTACAGACGTCTCTGTACTAATCCACAAGACTCTACTAGACATGCTCGTGACTCATGAGACCTACACCACCTAGAGCTCTGAG